TAAGTACCAAGAGAGCGTGAGTGAGAAAGTAAGCGTGAATAACAGCCAGAAAAATAAGCCTAATCTCAGTCCATCTGACCCTGAATGGCAGATCTTCCGCAGACGAGACGTTCTCCCGTGACGACACTAACCGAGCCAGAGGAGGGAGGTGTAAGGTGCAGCAGATGAGAGAGAGAGGTCCAGGTACCACGAAGCGTCGACCTCCCAGACTGCAACCCTCGATGTTCACGGTGGACGTATCTACCAGTGAGAAAGCACGGTATACGACAAGATACAGTGGGTAGACTAAGAGGGGACACGGGCGAAATCATCGGCCACAGCGATAGACGCGAGAGCAGGAGCTGAAGAATCGGGGCATAGGGCAGTGATTTTGTGTGCCCCAGTTCGGGCTCCGTTGAGACGTGGGGCAAAGCGTGCGAAGGAGAGAAGGGGACCGCGAGAAAGAGAGAGAGAAGGTGGGCAAGGGTGTGAAAATAAGGCAGAGGGGTACATGACACTGGTACAGGCGTGGGATAGACTGGAAACAAAGGCTGGGACACCTCTTTGGGGAGATTATTGCGATCTTTACGGGCCGTGACAGCGACACACTCCATGGTGATAGAGATCGGGTCAAGTATGTGTGTGTGTGTGTGCTGCCAGTCGCATTGGGGAGACCTGGTCCCGATCGAGAGTCGCGTGAATGAGAAAGAGAGTGTGTGTGTGTGCGTAAACGAACTTCGTGTCTCTCTAAGCACACCACGGGCGTTGTGGTTGCAATCGAGGGATCACGTAAGTGTATTCGGCACCAAAGAGAGGTGCTTTATTTATTATAATAAATATCTAAAGTAGAGTCAAAGTCACTTTATGTTGATCATTTGACCTAGACGCGAATCCCCTTTTCAGATAGATCCAGTGAAGGGAGAGTCAAGAGCGTGAATCATCGAGTACAGAAGTATGAGAGTGAATTATCACGGTATGTCCTCTCCAACGGTAAGTCACCTTGGGGAAAAAAATATTCGTAATAATTTATTATGTTTATTAGACAATGGTTATAGGAGTGAAAATTTGAACCATTTCGATTATTTCACTTCTGATACTTTTTCTAATGACAAAAAGAATGTGTCGCAAATCACCCCCAGAAGTAATTTTTTTTAAAAGACTTATTATTATGGTAAAAGTCGCTTCATATATCATCAACTGCTTCTAAAAATTTTTGGGGCCATTTGGCCATTTAAGCTTTAGATTGTGGTTTTAAGAACTAACTTTTAACACTGTCGGATTTTAATAGTAATTTAGAAGATTTTTGACTGGCCATTTCCTTAAGAAGCAATCGTAAGGCAATACGTATCAATGCCACAGTCAAAACTTTTTTTTTTTGTTAAAATAAAATGATAATTGTAAACTTAAAACAAAAACGTCTGACCTGTACCACTTTGACCATTAATAAAACTAATTTTTTGTTTATTGTTATACTTTTAATAAAAAATCTATTTTAATTCATCGTTTAATAAGGGATACAACTCAATAAAAGTTCTAACTTTTTACTTTATGTCACTTATTTAAAATATATAAGTAGAAATTGAAGGGAATGATTAGTGGATAAAGGGGCATGGGATGGAAATAGGTGGAGGATGCGTGTGGAATAAGTGAAAAAAAGGGTTGGGTAGAAGAAGGTGAACAAGGTTTGGATGACTTATAAAACAGCTAGAAAATGGACGAATAACAAGATAATTTGAGGAGAAAGGGTGGGGAATAGGAGAAGGATGGAGGAAAATTGAGGGAGATGGAGGGTAAAGGATGGTCAAAGGCTGAATTTTCTTACAACAGCTATGTAACAAAGATATATACGTACAGATACACACATACACACACCAACCTACACACGTAAGCGCATATGTGTGTGTAATTGTCTGCATAAGTACTTTCTGGATAAATACACACACACACACACGTATATTTTTATATAAGGTGACTCATGAGAACTCTACGTGCTTTTAGAATATGTACTAATAGCATTGAAAAGTTATGAGGATAGTCCGCATAATTACGATTTTGTCCTAATAATGATCTTTTTTTACATAACAATATCCGCATAAGTCACCATTTATAAATATGTGTATATGTATATATATATATATCTATATATACATATATATTAATCCAGAGGGTACTAATGCGGACAATCACATGCATGTAAGGGGAATTATGAGGACAAAAGTAAAATTATGTGGATGTTTGCATAATTATACCATGTTATATATATATACACTCTGCGTCAGCAGACATTTAGTGACGTACTATATCACTAAATAGATATACTATAGATTGATGTGCGCGTACAACGTGGTATGTCATTATCCAGTTTTTTAGCCAGAATAGATCCATTATGGATCTAAAACTGCAGACACGATGGATTATAGCATAGTTAATATTGTAGGTTAAGTCTAGATCTAATCGTACATTTCCTTCCAGATATTTTTTGGGGGGGGGGTACTTTTATTGTTATCGTTAAGTTTCTACTACACCCGTTAACAGTTGAACATAGTTCTGAACTACAATACCTTTGCTAGGAGCCATTGGCACCATTTAGTTTGTAGTGGGTCATCATCTGGAAGATAAAAAATAACTACCTCCTATAGTAGCTCAACAAAATGGTCGTTGCGAATAGCGTGTTTACGTGGGGACTCTGGTTCTGGAGCGAGAACCGAAATAAAGTAAACGTGATGTGAAAACAATGGTGGAATGGTGATGTGCAATAAACAGGGTGAAATATGTGTGGTAATATATATAATAGAACAAGGACATGTAGTATGTGTGATATGTAGTGATGTGGTTGAATCTGGATGAGTGGAGGGAACCTGATTCAAGATGATGGTATTAAAGCATGGAGGAGATGCAAGACCGATAATGATAATTCGTGAAACAGATGGTATAAATGTCAAGATGTTTATCAACGTGCTTGAAAAAGGATCGTGAGGGTTTATGGTTTAGAAAATTGTAGTCGATGCAATGGTAGACGAGAGAGAGAGAGAGAGAGAGAGAGAGAGAGAGAGAGAGAGAGAGAGAGGGAGATAGACAAGAACAATACAGAACAAGCCAACAGTATAGATGTAACAGGTAAGACGCGCAGGGAAGTGAATAATGATGAGCAAGAAATGATTGTGACAAAAAGGCAAATTAGAGTAGAGGATGGTTCATTATAGGAGGAGAAGCCGCACGAGTAAGAAGTGAAAGGTTTGCGGTACATGCGAGGATAAGCAAGAGATTTACAAATAAGTGATGTATATAAAAGAATCTGAGCAAGAAATAAAGAGCTATAGCATGAGCACGCGTGTAATTGATGAGAAATACGGGAAGACAAAAAAAGACGAGTAATAAAATGATGAGATGGGGGATACGAGATAAAGATTGATTTAATATTTAGTGATGAATATGGAATAGAAATAAAAATATATTAAAAAAGTCCGTCTCTATGACGATGTCCTAAATACTAGTTCAATGACAGTGGAAAAAACTCCTGCAGAAGGTACAAACTGTAAGTAGTTAAATCCAAGTACTAAGCAAAAGATGAAAGAATCTTTCATTTTGGCATCTAAGCAAGAAAGAGTGTGAAAAAAAAGACCGAACTGTCAAGCTCTGAAAGCCTGAAGCCTCACTTCTCCCATCACTGTACTCACGGGACTCAAGCAAATCAGTGACGGTCGTAAACGCGTGCAAGCCTCTAGGGAAAACAAAAGTGTGTCCTGCTCCAAAAGTAAGCATGCGTCACTACAAGAAAAATGTCTCTACAACGAGTATTTGTATTGTAACAAGTTGATATTAGTTAATTATTTGTGAATGTAACCCTGAGTTGAGTATTGAGTTGTCTCGATACAACATTCACAAAAATTAATCAAAACTGCTAAGTCCTTCTCGATCTTATGTGAGGAAATATTTCATTTATATTTATCATTGAGATTCCTATGGTCAACAAACTTACCATGGATGGCATACTGTAGCTCAGAAAAAAACGGTGCCACTGACACACTCTTACTACTAGTGATGACACTACTAGTAATGTAGACGTACTTTTGTGACATATCCGTCACGCTGACATCAGGAAATTATGGTTGGTGTATTTTTTTAAATGCAAAATTTAGTTTCCTTTTAGGTACAGTACACCATCTATGCAAATTTAGTGGACCGTAGAGACCTCATACTTATTTTACTTTTAATAGCACAATATTTTAACAGATTAAAGATAAACCACTGGGTTTTTTCCATTTAACCTTTATTGGCTGATGTAGTGAGGGAGGGTTATGAAATACACTGCATGAAAGTTTGGAGAAAAATATACAACAATGTTACTGCATTTTATGTTAGATACGCGGATGACAAAAGTTAGTGCTAATACAACAAAGTTATATCTCTACTGTTAATTTTTAACCTCATTAACAATAATCTCTATTTTTTATGAATCAGAACCTGCTAATCAAATAATGTTTTAAATACATAACAATTTAAAAATAAAACAACAAAATAATAATTAGTACATAAGAATAACGTCTGACACTAGAACTCTTAACTGCAAATCCAAATGAGTACCGATGTTTTTATTATCGTTGGTAATGAGTATAAGATCGATTTTTTTACTTTCTAGGTGGTGTAAGATAATATATTACTGCATATGTCTTAAGATAACAGTTAATGAAAATATATTGCCGTAGGTGTAACAAGAAAAAATACAGAACAGATTTATTTGGTAAAAATAACGGACTATAGAATCTTCTTTTTCATATTGCGCCGTGCTGGAACGGCAGAATGATTTTTTTTTAAATATAGTGCCAGGAATTATATGAGGGGTACTAGCTAACATATTGGGGGGGAGAGAATATAGGGCCATTGAAAAAAATTATAACAAGTTTTATTCAGTTAAAATAACAGGAAGTTCTGTTAAGTTTCTTTTTTGCATACATCCAATTACGTGGTTGTAGTAACTCATAATTTTAAACTCATATATTTTCATGACATCATTTTTTTAGATGTTTGTATGCCTTACAACGTAATGGACTTCCTCCGATTACAACTCACAATATTATAGATGATTGGAATGATCCTGTTTTAAACTCAATTAGACGATGTAACCTATTCAATACAACGCAGGATCGTGTTAAGGTAAATAAAACGTTCATTGCTGATAGAACAATCACATAAGTATGAAGAAATTTATATTAGTAACAAATGTATCAATAAGTCCCTCGAAAACCTTAAAGATAGTACATCAAAAAAAAATCTATTTTTAGTAAACATTATTTGTGACGATGATTTTTCTAGCCGATAAACAGCCGTCCTGAATCCCCTCACAAAACTCTCACTCAATTTCTTACCATGTTTCTACACTCTGAATATTTCTCCTCCAGGAGGTCTGCCACAGGTGTCTGGCTCGGGAACACCAAACACACCTGAAAGGAAAATAGAAGGGGGCAAATGGGGGCACAACTTCTCAATAAACACTTGCGGATTTAATTTTTCACAGCGTTTTCACGGTATTTATTCGCCTTAATACACACTCTCCACAACGTCACTTCTCTCTCTCTCTCTCTCTCTCTCTCTCTCTCTCTCTACATATATATTTATTTTTGCACACTATTCTCGAGGTAGATATCTTCGTGCTGTCACCTCCGGTCGTCCTCTCCGCCAAACTCCTCCCTGGCTCGACTGTTGGTGGCCGGTACCTAGGTTACTCACACACACATATGGACACCACCTCAAGCATACATTCCGCTTAATTCAATCTTTCCTATCTCTACGTAAACCCCCGTACACATTTACGTTTACTCGCTCGGCCCGTCCCCAACACTTTACCTCGAAATAACACCTCGTGTACTGTTCCCAGTACAATTACCTTCTCTCTGTCCTCGCAGTCACCCGGTGCTACTTGAGCTCGTCTCAATCGTCTGACTACGTTGTGACAGTACACTTCAACAGATGCTCGCGCCCCTCCCGTGTTTCCGAAAAATCTCCAACACGCCTAAAAACCGGTAAATTATTGGAGGTTTCAAAAACTAGGGAATCGACGTGGCCGCTCGGCGCTCACACCTCTCCGATGTGTCGCGAACCCTCGCCTCTCTCCTTCTCTATCTTACACACATGCTCGCCCAATCATACCTCACACACTTTCAATCCCTTTTATGGTCTTCGGTCCTTTTCTCTCCTCTGGCTTGTAGTCCGCGGCACCGAGGAATATTAAATACCATTAAGTAATGTGTTATAGATGTACATATAGAAGATATATATGTTATTCTAGGACTCGGTAGCCGCTGATGACTTGCCCCGAAATATAGGTATACAGTGACGTGATAGCTTTAGCTACCACGTCACACATTCTTGTTTAATGTGTAGCAAAGTTTAAGTTATTTAACGCACAAGTTAATCTTATTTTATTGCTACTGAAAGTAAGCAGATTGTTTGTTTTAAAAGAAGTAGACAAAAATTATTGTTGAGTGGTAAGTCTAACATTTTTTTTTCGAAACCTGCACTCTAAACCAAAAATTTAGTTGATAAGCTGGTATACATATGTACAATTCTACATATGATGTTAATTTTTAGGACGCCCTGTAAAAGTAAATAGTCCCATCCCTCTAAAAAATGATTGATTAATCCCACGGTAGTGCTAAAAAAGACAATTCTGTTCAAAACTCTGAACCACAAGAATTTTGAAAAATGCTACTATTTTTGTTTTGTGTGATGCGTGAGCCAAAAAAATATGAGATTGGGGCTTAAGGTATTAGTATCTCATACGTGATGATAATCATACGAACAGAATCTGATTCTATATAACATATTGTTGCCTGAAATAAATTTTAAAAATCATACTGCACATTGACAGAATCCACTATCATATAATTGTACATGGTTGATTCTGCCGTAAGTGGCTCAGGATACCTTAAGGAGGTTCAATCTCTCGCTATAGTCCATGCGACGCTTTCTACGGTTTGGTATGTGGTTTGTTTCTCTTGCTTTCCTGTGACAACGTAACTTTTTGTACTTTATACTTCGCTTATTCATAAATTTCTTTCCTCACTAGTACCCTTGAGGTATTCAATGAAATTAAATACAATCATTATTTTTTTATCATTAATAAAACTCACATATAAAGTTCATTGTTAATAAGCAAGGTAAATGTAATAGAAGCGCTTAAAAATACGACCATCTGTAAGCCTACATATAAAAATTAGCTAAATATAAATATCAATTACTTGGCTTCTACACTGAGAAAAGTGGTGCTAGAAAAAGTGTTACAACTATTATAAAAATTACTATATTTTATGAGAAAGCTGAGACATACTCGCCATATTATGAAAATTACTATAGTACATAGTAAAACCAGATTATAAAAAAATTTTCTATTCGATATAGTAATTCTTACTTTGCTCAAAAATAATTTTTGTATTAGTAAGTAAGAGAAGAAAAATATATATATACATACATATTGCGCAGAGAATATATATATCAAACAGAAGTTTAATATATAGATAAATATAGATTTTTTTTCTAGTATATAGATACTAATGATTTTGAAACATATTTTTATTTGAAAAACGATCTGCAGTGACTGGGATTTGAACCACCATCCTTAAGCTTCCGAGTCAGGCTCCGCAACCGCTAGACCACGGGACATGATGTCCGCATGAGTATGGATAAAGTACATGTGGAAACGTGTATTATTTATCATACACACAATAAAATTAAAAAATCAAAGGGTTTTTTATATACCAAGGTGTTAACAACGGATAATTAGTCGATTCAAAATTAATTGTCAGCACGTATCATGATAAATGGAATAATAAGTTTTTCTTAATATTTACATTCGTATAACCTCACATTTGAAACTCAATTGGCGTATATACCTATAAACATCGTACGAAATTACTTTCTAACATAGTAATTTTTACTATACTGAATAGCAATGCAGTGGAATGAGAAATTTTACCATGCCACATAGCAAATCCTACTTTTAAATGTGGTACGTTTGAAAACGATCACAATAAAATTCACTACGTGTACTATCACAATTTTTACTATGTTAGACATAGTAATTTTTATTATGCCGTAAAATGATTTCTGTATGGTTACCGCGTAATGAAAATTATTTAAAATATAATCAAAATTATTGAAGACGTAACAATTTTGCGTGATCAGGTGATTATAGCTCAGATTTCCTAAAAATATAGTAATTTTTGTGCCTTCAAATTTCGACAGTGACATCTTCATGACTTTACTTATTTGCAAAAAAATTTTAAATAGTTTTTATTTTTAATTCTGTAACAGATACAACTTCCTTAAGAAATCCTTCAAAAGAAAGTTGTTTGAAGAAATTATTCCTCACAGTAGTTGTACCCTAAATACCATTCATCTGCTTGTATAGTTGAAGTGTTCTAATGTGTCTAATGAAATAAGAACTAGGATTAAATGCTATCGATTAAAAATGAATTTTGTTCTATTCAGTGCCTTCGTTGAAAAGTTACGGCTGTTTAAAAAAATGCGATAAAAATTACCAATACCATATATAAAGATTTTATTAGTAATCTCTTTAAACTCTACATTATGAATACGTATACACAATATCTGCATTCGCATAAAACGTACATTTATTGTTTAAATTTATACATGGAAAAACATACATGTTTGACACTTACGTTATTCGTTTAAGGCGACCAACAGTCTGTAACGATCGTCATAACGATATAGATGTAAGTAATTATTTAATTTAAAAAAATTTATTTTTATTACAATTCACATTAGACTACTAACGTATCATCATTTATTGAATTAATGTTGATATTTGTAAACAGTTGCCCTACACTGTAATTTACGAAGATTGTTGTGGTCTTTGTTTTTATTTTTGTTAATAAAGTGAGCCTAATGAGGTTGGCGTTAAGACCAACGAAACGTTGCTCAAACCAACACCTGACTTTTTTGAGTTTTTCATTCTTACTTCTGAATTAGCTCTTACTGATCGTATGCTTATGCAGTGACCGTCAAGTAATACATAAATGCATTTGTTAAGTCATTAATTACCTAATTCAGTGATGAACTGATTGTTTTATTTCGCTACATGATAAGAGTCTAATCAAATAAGTAGTTTCAGATAAGATGTCATTAATGAATTTAAGGGTGCTTCAGGTACTTGAAGAAAAGTTGTATTTGATCTAGACGTGAGGTTATATTTGATACAGTGGAACATTGAATTATGATCTGTAATAAAAGCCGTCACTTTCTCAAGACTTAAATTGTGTTATTATTCAATTATTGACTGAGAAGAGTAAAATATGAAAGTAAGAAATAAAAATGCTTCAAAACAATTTTACAAAAGCACTTATGAAAGTTACGGGATATGTGATTAGCTTTAGTCAACAAAAGAGCAACCGTTTCCTGTTTTACATATTTCCAGGCAGTAAGTCTTTAATTTATTATAAAAAACATCTTGTGTAAGATCGTTGATAAAGTTTGTAAGTTTTCCAGCTTGCATCAACATATTGCCTGATTCAAAAATAAGCTTTTCAAAAATATAACTACATATCTAATATACCAGCCAAAAATGTTAATTCTTTTAAAACAGTCTTTTCATGTTAATCATAATCGACATACTTTAATTAGGTCCACACTGACAGTATAAAGTAGATCCATTTCAAACGTCTTTAAAAGCTCCAGTGTGTAGAGTTACTGGGATACTAAAATTTTTATAGTATTATAAGTTATTTATATGCATAAACAATGTTTCACTAATCTTAAACTTTTGATGCTGAATTTCTTTATGTTTACTATAAAATCTTTTTACCTTTGCACATTACTTACATAAGTGAAATTATTATATAAGTTAGCTCTTGTAGCTTTTACTCTTACTGTACTTAGCAACTGATACTATATCTGGTTCCATTTTTTTCTAACTTGATAAAAATCATACGTTGATTTCCTTCATCTGCATACTTTGCTTGGTTTATTAGATTTTTTTTAAATGCCCGTAACTTTTTCTTCTAATTTAGCTTCACTCTTATCAAAAGTTATCATTAAGCTATTATTAAGCATTTCTTTCTAATAACTGGGAGTTCTTACAAAACTCTATTTTTTAGTATCTAAGTTTCAATCAGTTACTTTAATTTCTGTGGGTAATT